GAAAAACGGAGAAATCACTCAGAAATAGCTCACGCACTACCACGCACTGCTGTTGTAAAAAGCCATTAAGTCAGAATGATTTTTATGTCTATTTTTAGTTCGAAATTGACAGATATTGGTACCAAATTAAAGAGTATGTCCTTGTCTATGTCTGTATTATACATTTCAGTATAAATTTGTTATAATTTTTAATGACAAACCTTTTTTTAGTCGGGTTCGCCCTCATAAATTATGAGTGGTACTAATACAACTACGAGGTGTTTGTATAAAGGAAAGAAAATAGCTAGTAAATGCATAAAATATTCACTTTCAAAACATTTTCTAATTTTTACTAAGTAGTTGTGACTTAACAGCCGGGAGTTTATGAATATTTGATATCGCTTTACAGAACGTTAAACAAAATTAACATAAAACATAACACTGCATGTTATCTCTTTGCACACACGAGACGTGACAAAACGACTCTTCGTAAAATTGCGAAGGGTAAGAATTCTAAAAGGTTGAAAAAAATTATCACTAGAAAAACTGAAGTTAACTTATGTTACAGATATTATAATAACCATAACATTCCAATATAAAAATATTTTTACATCATATATTTATATCTATTAATTATAAAAAAGAGCAAAGCAAGTCGAATCGTCGAATACCGAGTGATTTCTGATCGGCACGATTTACTGCTGCTGCTTAGAGATGTTGCATTTTCTTTCGCATCTACCATGGGGAGTGCTCTGAGGATTGTTCGGATTAACTCCAGTCACCAAATTTTATGAACGCACTACGTGACAAAATTCCCGATACCATCCACACCATCTGGATCCTTGGCGGATCACTACTGTACGTTTCACTGGGAGTTTTCTTTCGCGTATGATCACTGTGGAATAGTTTACCACTGGCGATTTTTCCGTACCGATACGACTTAGTGATCTTCAAGAAAAGAGCTTACTCCATTTTAAAAGGCCGGCAAGGCACCTGCAATTCCACTTGTGTCGCAGTTGTTCATGGGCGGCGGAAACGTTCGCTCGTTTGCCGCCTCTCCTATAAAAACAAACAATACAAAACTACAATATATTCATTTAATACGAGGCATTCTATCTTAATCAAGGACATATCAAAGATAAATCAAGGAATATTTAAGGATATTTGAATACGAATATGAGTCACAGGGTAATGATCGGGTTGACTATGTGCTTGTTTGTTGCCCTTATTTCAATTAAAAAAGAAAAAAAAAACTCAATTTTTTTGCTCAACATTTTTGTGCCATGAAAAAATATCTAACGCACCAAAACACTTATTAAGCGTGAAGTTAAAACGCTATCCCCTAATACATTATGCATAAGACTAATCTCCGCTTTATGGAAATTAATCACCATGAGTTTTCCATACCAACATGAACTAAAAAAATTGTCTGAATATATTTTCGCATTCCTATAGTATACTACATTTATAAAAAACCTGTCTGCTCAGTGAAGTTGCTTATAATTACCTATGGTGATATGATTATATTAATGTGGGGTACATCAATAAATTTCATTTCATTAATAAAATTCATGTGGGGTACATTCATTAATTTCAAAGAATAAATATAAAATATCTCACTAAGAATGAAATAAAATTTAATGAAATAGGAAGACAAATGGCAATACGTGCAGCACGGGCGGCCATCGGATACCAACACCATTGGTTCAAAGATACTGTCACTGTCGCTGACGTCTATATTGCCAGATTTTAAAAATTTGCAAATATAGTAAAAAGTGTAAACTAAATAACAGTAATATTTTTATATTCATTAATAATATGAAGTTTTAATTTCATTGGTAATGTCATTGCGATACCTCTTTAGTATCAGTCAATATGCTCTTTACATACTCGTAAATAACCGTGGTGTAAAGAAATCTTCCACTAGATGCGAGTGATAACATAATATTTATTATGAGTGAGAAAATTGACAAGTGGCGCGGAACTGTACTGCGAAGTTAATATATCAACTACATTCAGTGGTAGACTTGAGTTATTTTAATGGTGATAATAATAATTAAATGTTAAGACATGCTGAATGAGGACACTTCATCAACGTTATCATTTTCATCATACGAAATGAAATAGTTTGATGGATTACCATCACCTTCGCCTGTACGCCTTCTCCAAATGAATGATTCAACTTATAAATTTAATTACAACCTTATAGTCATTATTTGTGGCTATTCAGCAAACAAATTATAACGTTTAATTATATCGGATTATGTGAACCACTGTTTGCGGTCCGTTCTTCGTCGATAATGCTTTATCCGAAGGATGTTTCAATATCGCCTGAGAAAATCACATATTGCGGGATGATAAAAATAACAACGGTTCTTTTCTTTGAAATTCCTTCATATTTTGAGCTTTTGTATTGTGTTATGTTTTATATATACATAACGTCCTCCAGTGCAAACTTTGGTCATGGCGGACAATCTCAACAGAGATCTGTGGCAGAGATCAGAGGTCATCTGAGCAGGCCAGGATTATAGTTGCCGAGTGTATGCGTGAGCACAGGTGCACTCTGAATTCCGTCACACTTATATTTCGATGGGAAAGATGAGGCACATGACGTTTATTTACGTAGTAGAGCCACGCTGCGGCTATGTTATAGTTGTAGCAAACATGGGTCGGCTCGACCAGGGTAGGACCATGATCTCACATAATAAAATAACAGCTTAATGCTGCTGTGTTTTGTATTATGAGTATAGAGGAGAGGAAACCCTTTCCACTGGGAACGAAGCATTCCATCTTAGTCCTTATGGGTGTCAACCCATTTGCATTTTGATTCTTAGTCGAGAATAAATGAAGATGCTTATGGTCCACAGTATCCACTTACCATCCGGTGGATTGTATGCTTGTGTGTCGTAAAGGATCAACGGCTTTCCGTGCTCCCCGAGGCACGGGGATGTAACACCGCCAACTTTCTGACTGTGGACTGCTATTGAAAATATTACGGCAAAAAACCCAATACTGGTATTGACCCCACCGGGCATTCGAACCTAGGAACCTCGTGATCAGATCATCAGTTGTGTTTACGACCACTGGATCAAAGAGGTGGTCACGGTTTATATTACATAATATATATACATTTATCTAGACGATTCAGTGACTCAGCGGATAAGTGTAATGAAATAAAATAAAGAATTATTTTATTTTTTACGTAGGTCACTTAAGTTTTGAGATGCTCGAAATTTAAAAATGGAACACACCCGTGTTATATGTTTCTAAAAAGGAAATTTATTTAAAAATAGAACTCCATAAGCCTATTGCTCAATATTATAAAAAAAACAAAGTTGTATAAATTTTTCTGCAACGCTTCCAGCACTTTTCATTTAAAACGATGGAACTTAACCGTGAACATTAGCGCGCTGTGATCTATTATGATTTTAAATTTGGTTTTACCTAACAATTAAGTCTATAACTATTACAATCAGCATAAGAGGACTCAGCTTCATTATTTGCAACAATTTTTAGGTGGTTTGTTGAATTCCAAAGGAGTAAAATTAACCTTAAAGATGACCAAAGAACTGGGGCCCCGCAGATAGCAGTAACGGCAGAAAATGTATGGACTACTGAAATGTTGATGCGAGAAGACTCACGAATCACATATACGGACATCGAAAAGTGTGTAGGCATTACTAGTTCGGGGAGTATTCATACCATCCTACATCAACATCTTGGAGTGAGGAAGCTTTGTTGTCGATGGATCCCTCGTTTGCTCTCCGAAAGCGTAAAACGGACTCGTGTCATGAAAATCGACGTCAACTGAAAACTGGCATCATACGTTGCATTACCCGAAGCTTTTCAAGCTGTGTGGGAGAGAAGACCAAAGACCGGGCTTCGAGGAATCATGCTACATGACAATAATGTCTCTTCACATACCTCCCTTAGAACAAAAACATTTATTGACGAATCTGGTATTGAAACATTAAACCACCCACCCTACAGCCTTGACTTAGCTCCTTGTGATTTCAGTTTGTTTCCAAGACTCAAAGAAAAAATAGAAGGCAATTTTTTTTCAAGCGCCAAAGAAGCCGTGGCTGCCTACAAAGAAGCGATTTCCGACCTATCAGATCAAGACTGGCAAAAGTGTTTTCAGAGTTGGTTTAGGCAAATGGAACTTTGTATAAAGCATGATGGAGAATATTTTGAAAAGATGTAAAATAAATATTAACAGTATCTAGTATACTTTTTGTTAACTTATTGAGTATCCCACGTATACCAAATGGTGTATTGCAGCAGGACTGAGTTTTTTCTGGTTTTTACTCGAGCTATAGTTGTCGATAATATCTGTAATATTCACACTATTGAAGTGACGCCGCAATTAGTGCAACGATATCTTAAATCATTTGATTTGAATAAATCTGTTGGGCCTGATATGCTGCCAGCGTTTTTCTTAATTAATGTGAAACGTAAAAAATACGTAAAAGTCCAGCGCATTGTGAAAACACCAAGAACAAATTATGTAATATCTAACTCCTTATAAATAAATAAAAAATAAAATAAAAAATGTTTCGGCGTTTTCCAAATGCAGCTCAGTCGAGTTTTAGTGATTGGCCTGTAAGTTAATCTTGAGTTAGTTTAATTTTAAATATTAAGGATTAGAAACGAATAGACAATCCACCTGGTGGTAAGTGGATTGCGGCCTATAGACAACTCATCTCTTATCTCATCATATGGAATCTCCCCATTAAGAATCAAAATGCAGATATGAACCCCAGAGGACTAAAATGGAATGCCTCATTTCCATTTAAAAGAACTCCGGTTAACACTACACTCATTACATGAAACACAGCAGCGTTAAGATGCTACTTTACTCTGGTATTCTGTAAATAATTTTATCAATAAAAGTTTATACATGGTAGCAGCTTAGCTGCAACAAGTATTCACCAATATTACTTACTTACTTACTTATAGCACGTTTGTTACTCTTATTGACGAGAAAATATTACAATAAATAAATATATAATTGTTCACAGAACACACTGGCCATTTTGGACAAACTGGACATCGACAGCGAGAAGCCGTCAGAAGAGGAAATTGCCAGAATATTCGGGTATGAAGAGGCATACTTATCTGGAGAACTTGGCATCTGGCAGAGAATTAAACCGAAAATATGGGCGTTGTTCGACGAGCCATCGAGCTCACCAGCCGCGAAGGTGAGTTTTGGTATAAATGATCTCGCCATGTAATGGCAGCGTAAGGAAATCCACTACCTCATATTATTCCGTGGGTGTACCTCGTATGATTTCATGAAAATTGCAGCAGCGTTTTCCTGATAATAACTCAAAATAATAAATTGATAAGATTGCCAACTCATCTGTCAAGCGTAGCAACTTTAGCAACGGGTTGCTCGCGTGCTTTGAACTTTACAGCGAGCCCTTAGCCCCTGAGCTTCCACTGCTCCGTGTAGATTCCACCATCTTATATAATTCTGCTGCCAAGCGACAGTGCCGCCACTACTGTCTTCCAGTTTGAAGGCTATCTGCTTAAAAAAACAGTTTTACAACCTGTGAGGCATACACATCTAAAGCCTTTTTTAAATTAATTATATGTGTCTTTGGGTTGTAAGAGTTACTTAAATTTAGGTGGACTTTAATAAGCTTTGTCACATTATTTTTTAAACATTTTTCAAAAAAGATTATTTTATAGAATAAAGGTGAAGAACGGGGACACAGTCCACCTTGTGGTAAGTGGATGCTGTGACCCATGGATGTCTATATTTATCTTCAATTAAGAATTAAAATTTGTTGTGCTGTTACCCCTGAGGACTGAGATAGAACGCCTCGTTTCCAGTAAAAAGAGTCTCCGGTTCTCTCCACTCACCATACGAAACACAGCAGCATTAAGTTGCTATTTTATGCAATAACCTATTCGTGCAACAACACAGCTGCAGCACGGCTCTATCACGTAAGGAGTAAGTATATGTTATATTAAAAGTATATGTTATATTATATTAGTATAGGTATAATGTCATATTACGTATATTTAATTGTCATATTACATATATGAAATATATGTCATATTACATATATGAAATATATGTAATATGACATATACTTTTGAATTGGTACATAATTAGAGCTATGAATTGATAATTGGCAATTGCAATTGAAGAAACCAGAAAACTTGCAGTGTGTGGTTACATAAATGTTGGCTCGGGCTTTAATTCTAAACCAAGACCCGCGATGTAGTAAGCTGTAAATGTATATTCTTCTTCTTCACCTTTTGCAGCCCTTATAAGTCCACTGCTGAACAACCCAGCTTCTTCTTTTTTTTATTATTCATCATGCTTGGCAGTCTTAGACGTCAAACAACTTTGACGCTGCATTCAGTTGGTCTGGGTATTTTACGTCTGGCGAAAATGAAAATGTTATGCTGCCACCTCTCGAAATCTATAAGAAATTTCTGAAATACTCCATAGTAGCCTTTTACGATACCCAGGAACAAAGTGTTCGGGCACCAGACGTAAACGAATACACAGACCACACTACTGGCAATTTCCTCATGGAAACACAAATAAGTATTAATTAATAGAAGATTAAAATACGACGTTCAACTAATTACCGTGGAAACGAATTAATCTATGGCTTAACTTTATCAAGTCATCTATCATTACAACGATCGTGGACATTTTTCTGAAAACGGCTCATTTTTCAACATATATTTCGCTTTATACTTTAGATATAAGCACGCGAATATAGGTCACGTGCCATTACCGAGTGATTCAAGTCTTTGTTATTTATTTTGAATGGATTATAATCATAATTAAGCTTTTTATTATTTATTAGTCTATATGTGTTCGGACTGGATTCCTTTGCTTGACAAATATATTATGAGTAGGCTCGATCGTGGCAGGACCACGCTTTCACAAAATAGAAATGTCTGAGTGCTGTATAATATTAGGACTAATGATTGTATATCCAATGATTGTAAAGCTAAAAAAGATATAAAAAGTGCTATCTCTAACATTAATTTTTATTTGTTTTCAAACTAAATAAAACAACAGTGTCCCGCGTGGATTCAGTAAATATTTATGCGCCGCTGTAATTTGACAAATTGTGATCGGGAGACAAAACTTTGTGTCGCAAGGAAAAATGAAAATGGCGTTAAAATTTTTGTACCAGTGAATTTAAATCAAACCATTGTCAGCGTTTTCACATACTACTATTAATTGAGGTTATTTTTAGTAAATTATTGTAAATATTTGTTGGATTTCAATTGAACTTGAACTCGATGGGATGCTGTTGGATTATACAAGAATAAAGCGTTGCTTTACTAAAATTTGTGTTTATTATTGAATTTGTTCTAATAAAACGATATTATAGGTATTACGTGAGTGTGCATACAACCGATAGCGTCAGTCGTTCCTTTTCTCTTTTCTTTTCTTTTTTACGTATTTTCTTTAGTGTGCAGTTTTTTCTCGGCTAGTACGTTTATAATGCAAAAGCTTAAAAATGAATTTGCAGTTTCAAGCGGTAACAATGATAATTAAACAAAAGTAAAAAAATATAAGAACCGGGAAAGTTCAAGGGCAGTACAGTACTTGAACAACAAGGGATTGATCCCCACTGGCTACAATTAAATTATTAATTGTTTTAAGTGCTGATTTACCGCACGCTCAAGGGTGAAGGAAAAAAATTTCAACATACATTTCGTAAAACATTTTTGGTTAAAAAAGTATTTCAAAAACATGTGATGTCCGCCAACAAGCACTGGCAACCTCCTAGCACCCTCTTCGAAATTCAGAGGAGGCCTGTGCCCAGAATTGGGATGTAAAATACGCTTTAAACTTTTTTATCTTTGATATTGTAACCTACAGAAACTATAAGTACGAAAGTAAGTGCGAAACACAGCGTTAAGCTTCTTTATTCTGAGCGCGTGTTCATTCCCCGGTCGGCTCGACCCAGTCGCACTGCTACCATAATTGACTCTACCTCATAGAAAAATAGCGACAACGTAAGTAACATCTCTATTTATCCTATTTATTCTATATATACTATACTATACTCCTATATCTACCCTCATTTTTGTTGCTATAAAACGTAAGATAAAAAAATTCTATAGACTTCGCTCTTAACTTGGACGCCGAAAAAATATATAGAACGTCAAAGACAGAACAGTGATTGATGATACCGAATTCTGTCTATAAAGGTTGGCTTTTTATGAAAGAATCGAGAGTAAAAAAATTGTATGAGAATTCGTTTACCGGATTCGACTGCACGCTTTTCCGTTTAAGCCGGCCTTATAAAAGGAGGTACTCAATTCGACTGTGTATTCTTTTTGAATGTATGCAGTGAGATAAATTCGTCGTTTGTGAACCGATTTTAATTTTCTTTAAAGCTAAATAGCAATAAGGATTTTTTTTTTCAGTTTTTCCCTTAATATTAAACTTAACTTAACAATAAAGAGTGTTGTATGATATTGTATATTTCAAGGGCGGTCTCATTTAAATTAGGATGGATTAAGTTTCAAATGGAACTATTAAGACGGCATTCTAGATGTTATCAGTGATACTCTTTAATCCACTCAAAAGTGTCAAAAATTTAACTTTTAATACAAAGTAAAAGTTGACTTCTAAGAACTGAAAGAGATTTTAGTGGATCCGCGATTCACCGGAACCTGGCTAATCCTCCTTGTAATCCGCCATGCCTTGAATATGAAGGTATAATCGATCCTTCGCAAATGCGTGGTTGTCATCATCATCGTCATCATTACAGGCCTTCACAAGACCACTGCTTGCATAGGCCTAACCAAAGGAATACTACAAAGAACGACTTCCTGCATGTATTACCAGGTCGTCAGTCCATCTAGTTTGGGGTCGCTCATAATACACTTCACCTACCGGTACGAGGCTGCCACTCGAGAATCTTTTTCCCCATCAGTCGTCGGTTATTCGAGCTATATGGCCGGCCGATTGCCACTTCAGCTTAGTAATCCGTTGGGCTATGTCAGTAACTCTGGTTCTACCGCGGATATCCTCATTTCTAAGTTTATCTTACAGAAAAACTCGAAGCATAAACCTCTCCATAGCTCGCTGAGAGACTTTGAGCTTCCTCATACGGACAGCAGTGAATTACCATGTCTCAGATCCATAAGTCATCACTGTCAACACACACTGGTTTTAAATTCTCGTTTTTAGGCTTTGAGATGAAAATCGTAATTTCTTAATAAAAATAAAGAGCTTAGTGCTGCCGACAACTACCAGCATAGGTGTGACGAGGACATTACACATGATCTTTGTTTTATTCACGTTCATCTTAAGACCTATCTGTTGGATGACACTATTGAGGTCATTGAGCATAGTGCTCAGGTCCTTCAGCGGTTCTGACATAAGGACAACATCATTGACAAACTGAAGGTGAGTGATGTACTCGCCATTGACCGAATCCTTTCCAGTCCAATAGCTTGGAAACGTCATCCAATGCGGCGGTGAAGAGTTTCGGGTATATAACGTCACCCTGTCTTACACCTCTCTGCAGTTGGATAGGTTTATTACTCTAGTTCTGTAACCGGATAGCCATCGTAGCCCTTCTGTGCAAAAACTTCAGCACCTTGATATTCCGACAGTCAACTTGGCACTGCTGAAGGGACTGTAGCACCGCCCAAATTCCGATGGAATCAAAGGCTTTCACATAGTTCACATACGCAAGATAAAGTGGCAGATTGTTCTTTTCGATCTTCTGCACAATTTTCCGAAGAGTATGTATGTGATCTATGGCACTGAAGCCTTTTCGGAAACCGGCTTGTTCGGGAGGCTGAAAGTCGTCGAGTCTACGTGTGAGACGATTCGTAATGACTCTCGAAAACAACACGTAGACGTGGCTCAGAAGGGAAATCGGTCTGTAGATCTTCAAAAGGGCGTTGTCACACCTTTATTGAAGAACAAGAACACCGCACTTCTGCTGCACGCCTCCTAAGTAGTTCCACTATGGAGGACGGAATCGAAGAGCTTCTGAAGGACCTCAAATACCGGTTTTCCACCCGCTTTCAGAAGCTCCGTTGTCATTCCATTCTTGCCTGTGGCGATATCGTTTTTAAGGTGCTGGAGAGCCATTCTAGTCTCACTCAAGATGACTGACGTCCTGGACACCGTAGCCAGGAATAGCAGGTCCACCGAAACTGGGGTCCATTTCTTCGTAACTGTCATCATGGGGGT